TCCTGGTGTGGCACTGTAGGGTCAGCACAGGACTGTGAACCACAAGGTCGGTAGTTCATAATGGACCTGCTGCTTCTTGGAAACCCTATACAAGGTTGCTATGAGCCGGAACCAACTTGACAACACTTAACAAGGTAGAGTATCAAATGCAGTCTTTTTTGAGGAGCACTAGTAGCACAATGGTCAAGTGCTCAGCTGCTAACCAAAGATCAGTGGTTTGAACCCACCAGCTACTCCACAGGAGTAAAAATCCTTACAATCCGTTCTCATAACGTTTACAGCCTAGGAAACAATGGGGGCAATTCTACTCTGCCCTATAAGTGTGCTATGAGTTAGAATTTACAGAGCCACACATAGTAACAATCTTGAGCCCACCCTGATAAGTAAACCAGAGGATAGTGAAGTTACAATTTCTATTCTCCATAATGTTACTCTTTAGTTATTTCAGCTTCAAGTACACATTATTCCAGGTGGGAATGAACTATGGTGTATTTGAAGACAGGGTCTACGTTTTGAACAGTATCAGTCATTATAAAATACAAAGACTTCATAATGGCCAACTAGGAGGCCACTGTTATTGGACTTCCTTTCCCTTTGACGTCCTTGTCCTTGCATATGTCTGCCCTAAAATCTTTGCTCTCATTGTTCAGCCCAACTGGAATATACTCCCCCATCCCTCTCTCTCTTAACTAAATCATTCTCATTCAAGCCTCTTTTCACAAGTATCTTTGCAATGGGACCGTGACCATCCCACATAATTCTAATTCTTTTCTCTATACTGCTTTGGAGCTCTGATGGCATGGTGGGTTAAGTGGTGGGCTACTAATCACAAGGTCAGGAGTTCGAACTCATGAGCCACTCTGTGAGAAAAAGATAAAGCTGTCAGCTCCTATAAAGATTTACAGTCTTTCAATTCCATTTTACCCACAACATTTTTGAAGAACCTTCATATAATTATTATTATATTTACCATCTTTCTTCCGTTTATGGATCATCATTAAGTACAAAGGTCAAAATTGTCCAAAATAACTCCAAAAACTTAAATATGTTTGTCTGCCCTGGGGACTTCCCCTCATTTTTTGGCGTGGGATGGGCATTAGCAGTCTTCAACCTCCCAAGAAATCAATGTTTGTGTGAGTATATGTGTTAAGTGCCATATGTGTCAAGCGACCCTGAACAGGATTTCCAAAAAGCAGCTGGAGGGTATGAACCACCAACCTTAAAGTTAGAAGTCAAGTGCTTATCCTATAGCACCACACAGAAACTCCAAGGTCCAATGTTACTGTTGTAGGCAGACTAATGGCCTGGAACCTTTGAGGAATTAAGGCTGATGAAATTAAGGTTACTATCAGCTGATTTTAAAATTAGGACGATTATATTAGATTATCTTGTGAGCCCAATGAAATCACAAGATTCCTTAAAAGTGGATGGGGAGTCAGAATAGAGCAAGAATGATTGAATGTGAGAATTGGGTTAGATGTGAAAAATCAGATGTGAATGTTTTAAAGATGAAAGGCTGAAAAGATACTATGAGCCAAAGAAAGCAGACAAGCTATAAAAAGTGGAAAAGGCAAGAAATGTGTCCTCCCCTATAGTCTCCAGAAGAAACAGCCTTGCTGGCATGACTTCAGACTTCTAACTTCTAGAATTGTAAGATAAGATGGTAGTATTTTTAAGCCACTGTCTCTCCTTCTTCCTAGTCTGTCTTGGTTGGAAGCTCAGCTGAAAATTGCCCACTGTCGGGTAACCCTGCTGGCATTTTAAATACCCGTGGTATAGCTTCCAGAAACACAGTATGACAAACTGTCAGATGAGTGGTGGGTGTGAAGCACCTCGATCCAGGGAAAGTTTGAGTCAAGAAGACACAAGGAGCCCTCCAAGAAATGCTGGGCCTACAGGTGTTGAAAGGAAACAAAGACCTTTCTCCATAGCTGGCTCTCTGAATTCAAACTTCTAGCCTCCTAAACTATAAAAGTACACTTCTGCTTGTTAAAGTCACCCACTTGTGATATTTGTTACAGCAGCACTGGAAAACTAATACAACTACTAAGATGCAGTTAATAATTAGAAAACAAATGGTCTCATTTTCACTCTAGACAGAGATGTAACTTGCCACAGGTCCAGTATCTTCAACTTCTGGGTAACTGGTTTTCTGACAATTTAACTTATAAGTAGCTAGTCGCCAAATCTAGACTGCCCAGAACAAAAATGTTCTGATCTACCACACACTCAACATATAAAAAGGAAGAGTACGATGGCGTTCCCCACTTAAACACACCCAATACATGGCTAGCAGATTGTCTGGATCCCAACAAGCTCATTTTGGAGATGACAGATTAGCTTTGGGATAGCTTTGCCCCTTCTTTTGCTGACTTTTGACCTACTGCTATTGTTGTTAAGTGCAGTCAAGGGGGTTCCAACTCATAAGACGCAACCTGTATAAGGTTTCCAAAGCGGCTGGTGGTTTTGAGCCACCATCCTTGGAGGTAGCAATCAATGCTTATCCTACAGCACCACACCAGGACACTACACAAGGAGTCCTGGTGTGGTGCTGTAGGATATATATATACATACACACACCACAATATAAATATATGTGTAGATTGGGAGTATATTTCATGGTCAACCGCACACTTTCAATAAGTAAACAAATATTTTTAAATATTTGAGGAATTGAAAAGATTTTTATTTTAAAAACAAAGTTAACAGTTTTGTAAAATCAAATATAGTAAAAGGTTAACAATGAGGTACTCCAGTTGAAGAATGAAAGGGTGTTCACTGTACTACTCTTTCCGTTTTTCTGTAGGTTTTATGTGTTATCAACAGTTGAGGACAAAAGGCATCAGTTTTATGTACCAGTACTAAAACTCCTCAAACTCTTGTCACTTGCCTCAATTTAACATGTAACATAACTAAACCTACTTACTTCGTGGATACCAACTCACAGCGACCCCACTGGACAGAGTACCAGCAAACTGTTCCATAGGACTTTGAAGAAAATCTTTATGGAAGCATACAGCCTCATCTTTCTCGCACTGAAGGTTAGTGGGTTTGAACCACTGACCTGGTGGTTAGTAGCCCAACTCTTTACCCATAGCAGCACCAGGTTCCTATTTAACATCTAGCTCATCATTTATTTGTTACTTCAAATAACTCCCAAAGCATACGACCCTGTATATATAATCCTGGTTAAAAAGACTTAAATTAATCCAGTAAGCCTGAAAAGCCGGGACCAGATCATAAGGCAGCTAAGCTTAGCTATTAAATAGTCACAACAGAGTTAATCAACTGCTTGTAAAACTTAATACAGTATTTGTCTCAGAATATCATCACTAGCCTGTCCTTACTTCAAATGAAATTTGTTCCTTCAACGAATCACATATATTGCTATTATTAGTGGACACAACTTAGGTAATTTGATTTACTATTCCATCATCCTGCAATGCAATATTAGTTTGCCCTTCCTGCCAATACCCTAATCAAGACAGGATACCTAAATACACGATGGGGCTTCAAAGAGTCTTGGAAAAATGGAATTAAAAGATATTGGAATTTTACACAAACTTTCTGAAACCCCTAGTATAAACGGGTTACCCTTTAGTACACAAAGAAAAACCTTAAAAGTTGGCAAACTACTTCAACCCCTTGTTATTCCTGCCTCTGACTCCCTCGTTTGTAAAAGAACCCGCAAGGGCACCACACGAAAACATAGAAAATAGTTTTAACGCAACTATGGGCCAGTTTTAGAAACTGAATTTGAAGTAAGGGCAAATCGCTGAGCGCGGCGAGAATGCAGGATTTAAATTCCTGTAGATAGACGCCCGGAGGCTGCGGCCGCCTATCGCTGCAGGCGTGGCGGGCGCGAAGGGAGAGCACAGCGAAAGGAGATATAGACTGACCGAACCCCGGGGGCGCGGCGGCGCAGCTGCGGGGCTCGCGGCCTCCCGGGGCCCCAAGCCACGCGCCCCTCCCCTCCGCTCCTCGCGCAGCCTCTCCCGCCCCTCCCCACCCGGCTCCCTTAAGTCTCACGAACGGAAATGGGAGTCACAACGCCGGGGACCAGCGGAAACAAAACACAGAGGCGGGTGCGGGGGGGCAGCTGTGGGGGAGAAGGCCCCGGAACGAGGCCAGCCCGTGCGGGCCCTCGCTCCCTTCCTCCCCCGCAGCCGCACTTACCCGCTCCGGAATCGGCCCTGTCGCTCCGGCCCGCTCTCCAGAGCCGGCTGAAAACGACAGCGGCCACGGCTACAAGTGCGGTGTGTCCCCGGATAAGACTTGCAGCTCCCACAACCGAAGTGTGAGGCCCCCGGGCCCTTCCCGCGGAATTGGCGCTGAGAAACTCCAAAGCCCCCCCTCCCCGCCTCCCAGGCACCCCCGGGTCCAGGACTACAACTCCCAGCAGGTTGCGCGAAAGGAACGCCCAAGGCAACGGAGGCTCACGAGGCACAAGCACAACGCCCAATTTTTCCTTTTTTACACTTTTTCGTATTCCCTGTACGCTCCTATGCCTAAACAACCCCCAACAAACAGAACATTGACTACAAGTAAGAGTTAAACTGGGGAGGGAGGTGAACGGCAAGTTAAATACGCATACAATAAAAACATTCCTAGGAAGAAAAAAGCGGGTCAAATTGAGCGGAGAAAAGATGGCGGAGACTTGGCTAAGGGACCCGGAAGCACTTATCCTCCACTTCCTCCTCCTCTTTGGTTTCTGTCTCACCTAGAGCTGTCCGGTCGCAGACTATCTTCCAGACGCTTCCTGTCCGGTGAGCAGCGACCGATTTGCAGCGTCGACCCATAATGCTTTGCGATAGCGGGGAGGCGGGCGGGGGCGGAGCCAGAGCCGGAAGTAGAACGGCGGCGGTGGTGGCTCCTTGGCAGCTCGGGACTGAAGTGCAAGGTGACTGGGAGGGTAATTGAACTAACTTGGTCTCTTGGGACTTCGATTCTGGGTTTCTTCACGGGACCTGGGCTGCCTATCACCCCTGCCCTACTAGAAGAGAGAGTAGCTCCATGTTCCGGGCACCTTCACGGCCCAGTTCGAGGTCACAGTGACCTCCGCGCTTTTTAGATCCTGTAGCTTGTGTGGCTCAATAAATAATTCTGATAATACCTGCTTTGAGGGCAAACAGAGGGGGTCTCGGGGAAGCAGTGAACTCGGGGGTCATGAGCCCGCAGCCTGGCTGCATCAGCTCTATGTCATGGTCGCGAGTCAGGTTGACCGTCAGGTCAGCCCAAGAGGGCTACGCTGGAGACGCCATTTCTGAACTGTTTACTCTGGACAGGCACTGTAAGAGGGAGAGGAAAAAAAGTGTTAGTGATCTTAAAAGTTTGCGTCCCAGATAAAAATGTTGATGGTGCTAAAACTCTGTTAGGCAGCTCTGTGGATCTACATTAGGAATATGCACTGAATCTACACAGATTAACCTTTGGCTTCAGTCATGATTGTAAATGCTAGTAGCATGCGCTCTCCCATTACAAGGCTTCATGCTGCACGTTTTTCTTGTAATCCTCATTTTTTTGTTTATTAATTACATTCTCATTTATCAAGTAATATGGAATCCTTGCCCAGTTTTTTACTATGTTCTGCGTGACACGCCTTAGTAATACTCAAATACGGACTTTATTACAATTGATACTGTAACTGATTTGTGTAGCATCTGTCTTCTATGTGACAACAGACAGCCAACACTCAATATACACTTGTTACATGAGGAGGAAGAAAGAAAGGAGACGGGACAAGTTTTGGTACCAAGAGGAATGGATTCATTTTTTGGACAAGTTGCCTGGTGTGGTACTATGGGTTAATGTGCCAGACTGCAAAGCCATTTGAACTGCACTCACCAGCGTCTCCTTGGAAACCCTATACAGTGTCATTATGGGTCGGAGCCGATTCAATGGCCCTTAACAACAACACAATAGGATTTAAGAGAACCCAAAAGTCAAAATTAGAGATGAGATATGGAAATCATTGTAAAGTGCCTTTGAATTGACAGTGATTCATAGCGGCTCTATATAGGGTATCCAAGGACTAGCTGGTAGGTTTGAACATGAGATTAGCCACCTGACTCATGTAATCACTATGCTGCCAGACTGTGGTGGTTGGTGGTTATGTGCTGTGGAGTCAGTTCCAACTCATAGGGACCCTGTACAGGCTTTCCGAAGCTGTAAATCTCCACGGGAGCAGAAAGCCTCATCTTTCTCCTGTGGAACAGCTTGTAGTTTTGAACTGAAGTTAGCAGCCTGATTCATAACCACTATGCTACCATACTTATTCAACCTGTATGCCAAGAAGCTGGGTTATATGAAGAAAAATGTGGCATCAGGATTGGAGGAAGACTCATTAACAACTTGCGATATGCAGATGATACAGCTTTCTTTGCTGAAAGTGAGGAGGACTTAAAATACTTATTAATGAAGATCAAAGAGCACAGCCTTTGGTATGGATTGCATCTCAACGTAAAGAAAACAAAAATCCTCACCAGTGGACCAATAAACAACATTCTTATCAATGGAGAAGAGATTGAAGTAGTCAAGTACTTCATTCTTCTTGGATCAACTATCAACACTCATGGAAGCAGCAGTCAAGAGATCAAACGTATTGCATTAGACAAATATGCTGCATAAGACCTTTTTAAAGTGTTGAAGAGTAAAGATGTCAGCTTGAAGACTAAGGTATGCCTGACCCAAGCCATGGTATTTTCAATAACCTCTTATGCATATGAAAACTGGACAGTGAATAAGGAAGACCGTAGAAGAATTGATGCTTTTGAGTTATGGTGTTGGAGGAGAATATTGAAAGTGCCATGGGCTGCCAAAAGAACCAATAGATCCGTTCTGGAAGAAGTGCAGCCAGAGAGGTCCTTGGATGCCAGGATGGCCTAACTTTGTCTACCAAACTTTGGGCATATTGTCAGGAGGGACCAGTCACTGGAGAAGGATATCATGTTTGGTAAGGTGGAGGGTCAAGGAGCTCTGGTAGCATAGTGGTTACAAGTCAGGCTGCCAACCTCAAGATCAGCAGTTCGAAACTACCAGTGGTTCCGCGGGAGAAAGATGAGGCGTTTTGCTCCCGTTAAGAATTACAGCCTCAGAAACCCTGTGCAGGGTTGCTGTGAGTCTGAACCGACTCCATAGTACTTAACAACAACAAGGTGGAGAGTCAGAGAAAAAGAGGAAGAACCCCAGCGAGATGGATTGGCAAAGTGGCAGCATCAATGGGCCCAAGCATGGCAACAATAGTAAGGTTGGCCCAGGATCAGGAAGTGTTTCGTTCTGCTGTGTGTAAGATTGCTGTGAGTCAGTACCAACTCAGTGGCACCTAACAACAATAACACGCTACCATGCTGCCAGACCAGTACTTGTTATTTGATGTTGGTTGTTAGATGTAACTGAGTGGATTTCAACTGATAGCTAATAATCAAAACATTGGAAATGGATTTCACCCATATTGTAGTAGAAGTGGCAGGATCTTTGCAGTCATTATGGCCTTAGAGCAAATTAATTGGGAATATAGGAGCTCTGGTAGCATAGTGGTTACGAATCGGGCTATGAACCGCAAGGTCAGCAGTTCGAAACTACCAGCTATTCTGTGGGAGAAAGATGAGGCTTTCTGCTGCTGTAAAGATTTATACCCTTGGAAACCCTGTACAGGGTCGCTGTGAGTCGGAACTGACTCAACAGCACATAACAACATAGGTGATTTGGTGTGGCGCTGAGGGCTAATGCATCAGACTGCAAAGTCATTTGAACTGCAAGGTTGGTGGTTCAAGCTCACCAACTGCTCCTTGGAAACCCTATACAGGGTTGCTATGGGCTGGAATGGACTTGACGGCACTTAACGACTAAAACACCATAGGTGATTTACGAGGTCAGCCTTTCAGGCTCACCAGTCACTACTAGGAAACCCTGTAGAGGGTTGCCATGGGTCAGAACCGACTCTACAGCACATATCATCAAATGGGCAATTTAAGAACTTTTTTCAGACAGTTTTATCATTTGTAAATTAGATAATATCTTCTAAATACTCCTTTAAAGATATAAGGAGTGAACATACATGAAATACTTTGCAGAATTGCTGTCATGTACCGGGGAGTCAGTTCCGACTCATAGTGAACCCTGTACAGGGTTTCCGCGGCTGTAAGTCTTTATGTGTCAGAACGCCTCATCTTTCTCTCACGGAACTGCTGGTAGTTTCTAACTGCTGATCTTGAGGTTGGCAGCCCAACTCATAACCACTACACTACCAGAGCTCCTTATATTTAGGGATAAACGAAGTTAGGTCGCCTTACTACTAAGTGTCAAGTGTGTTGTTAGGCTGCCAAAAGGGAAAATGAACATTGAGTTATACAATATTTGTGAGATATTTTTTGTTTAAATCAGATTTCACCACTGTGTGATTCTGGACCACATATTTAGCTTCTAAACCTCAGTGTAAAATGGAAATGATAATAAGAGGTACTTTATAGGGTCATTTGTTTGGAATCTTTTCCTTTGGCAGGGTATAATAGTACTAGTGTGTTTTTTGTTGTTGTTTTTCTCCCTTCATTGTTTTTCAGATAGTTGGCTTTCACCTTGGTAGGTAAGAGATACCTTGTTAGTTGGAGGACATTTTTTTTTTTTTTTAGTTTTCATATTATATTCCAGGATTACTCAGTGTTGATCTTGTTGATATTTTGGACTGCATAATTGGGAACTGCCCTGTTCAGCAGCTTACCTAGCCTCAGTTCACTAGACATCTATAATGAAACAAAATGGTTTTCAGATATTGCCAGATATCTCTTGGGAGCTAAACTCTCCCTTTTATGAGCCCACTCCTGTTTGAGAACTACTGCCACTCTACTGTCCTCTACCATAGTGCCTCTCTTGTTTTATTTTCTCAGCTACTGTGGAAGGAAAAGGAGCCCTGATGGTGTAGTGGGTTACATGTTAACTGCTAACAAGGTCAGCAGTTCACATCCACCAGATGTTCTGAGGGAGAAAGATGAGGGCCTTGTAAAGATTTATGGCCTCAGACACTGTACAGGATTGCTATGAGTTGGAATCAACTTGATGGCACACGGTCACCACCACTGTGGAAGGATACTTATAAACATAATAAAACTGAATTACTGGGAAAATGAAATGAAAAAAACAAACGGTGGAAATAAAATATAAGCCCTAGTTTTTTATTATTAAATTCAACACATATAAGGGGGCTTCAAAAAGCTCATGCAAAAATTACATTCTTTTTAAATTGCATTTTTCCAGTCTTTTTGAAGGCCTCTTGTAAATTAAAATTGCTATAAAACTTTCTAAATGCTTATTCCCAAAATGCATTGTGTACTAAAGATCAGTATACACTGGTTTCAGGACCACATTTTGAGCAGTGCTATGAGTTGGATCCAAGTCCATGGCACACAACCACCACTACCACCACCAATAATAAGAAGAATTAGGCTCCTACTATAGCGTAGTGATTATGAATCGGGCTACGAACCGCAAGGTCAGCAGTTCGAAACTACCAGTTGCTCCACTGGAGAAAGATGAGGCTTTCTGCTCCCTTAAAGATTGACAGCCTCGGAAACCCTGTACAGGGTTGCTATGAGTCAGAACCAACTCCATGGCACATAATAACATGCAGTACATTTGGAAGTTTTACAATTATATATACATGTATATTTTTAAGAGCATTAACATTCTGGTCCTTTTTTTTTTTCCCCCAGTAACAGAGTCACCATGATTCTCCAGCGGCTCTTCAGGTTTTCCTCTGTCATTCGGTCTGCAGTCTCAGTCCATTTGCGGAGGAACATTGGGGTTACAGCAGTGGCATTTAATAAGGAACTCGATCCTATACAGAAACTTTTTGTGGACAAGATAAGAGAATACAGATCTAAACGGCAGTAAGTGAACAGATAATCAATCTTGGTGTAAATATAAATACTCAAAGTGTGTAAGATTCAAAATGGTAAATCCAAGCACTTCCAGACTTGATTTTAATGCAATTTATCATAACCTCGAGTTAATTCCTAAATGTGCATTGTTGTCATGTTGTTATTATGTGCCATCGAGTCAGTTCCTGCTCATAGTGATCCAGTATAGGGTTTCCAAGGAGCTACTGGTGAGTTTGAACCACTGACCTCGTGGGGCAAACTGACTTTGTGGTCCTGCGCTTATCCTACAGCACCACACCAGGACTCCATACATATGTACATGTTGTTGTTGTTGTTGGGTGCCATCGAGTCGGTACCAACCCATAGCGACCTTATGCACAGCAGAACGAAACACTGCCCGATCCTGGGCCAGCCTCACTGATGTTGCCATGCTTGAGTCCAGGGATGCTTGGCCAATCCATCTCGTTGGGAGTCTTCCTCTTTTTCTCTGACCTTTAAGAAATTATTTAGCAGCTAATTAAGAAAACAAAGTACCATAGACATTGATTAGCCTGAAGTCCTAACATTAATTGGTAAAAATATATAATCAAAGTATTCTCTCAATTTAGTGCCCTTTCTGTGATGTCTTTTTTTTAATGTTTTATTGTGAATTATGTGATAGTTTACATGGGATGGTTACAGTCCCCTCCATGCATCATCACCCAACCAAAGGGTATACCCTGCAAGCCTGCCCCCCGGTCGTTCAGCACACAGCCCCTCTCCCTCTCTCGGTCTAGAGTCCCCAGCAGCTCCATCTCTCCACATCATCGTCTCTGCCTCCATTTCTGGCATCACTGCTTCTCTGGATAGGGTCTCGCACTCCGCTCTTCTCCCTTGATGGTTACAGGGACCTCTGCTCCTGGACTGCATAGTCAGTCACTCCCCTTCTTTTGCTACAAAACGTCCACCTCTACTTTTCCAACCCTCACAGTCAGTCCTGATAACAATTATATCACAAGGGACCTATCCCCATCTCCTTTCATTAGCTCCGTCCTGACAGATTGGGTACTACTCAGTGGAGATTCTGCCTTCCTCCATGCCCTCTTGAGAGCTTGTAAGCCAGTCACTTCTTGCCTTTGGGTAGTCAGTGTCCAGGTTGCCTATCCCTGTCTACTCTGTAGTTGGAGGGGGTGATTTCTGTGACATCTTGATAGGTGAAAATAACCACATTTTTTCCATAATGTTCTTTTGATAGTTGTAAGTCTTTTGGACTATCAGAGGACAAAAGGCTCCAACATAGTTTAAAGCAAGTTCAAGGGAAGCATGATTACAGAATTCACAATTTTTAAGATGGTGGCCTTAACCAGCATGAAATAAATATAGCTCCCAAATCTCAGCAAAAGTGGAATTCCACAATCTATTCCATTTTGTTTTATTTAGCGACCTGCTGTGTACAAAGCACTAGGTTACTATTAACTCTGGCAGGCCACAAAGTAAGAGGCTTCTTAATATTCATAGTCTGATAGGAATAAAAAGCTTGTAAACAAGTAACTATAATGTAAGGTAAATTGGATTAGAGAGCACAGGTGAGTCAGTAGTAGAACTCTTGCCTTCCATGTGGGCTGTTGTTAAATTCCATCAATCCTGTATGAGGTTTCCAAGGGTGGCTGGTTGATTTGAGCACTGACCTTGCAGCTACCAATCAAGTGCTTTTTCTACAGCACCACACCAGTACTCCATGTGGGAAACCCAACTTACATGTCAGTGGAGTTTTGCATGTCACTATAATGCTGGACCAACACTTGAGGAGCTTCCAGATAGACAAACGAGGGAGAAAGGTTTGTTGATCTTTCAAAAAGTCGATCAACGAAAACCCTTTGGATTACAGTAGTCTAGTCTGAAACCAATCATGGAGATGATGCAGGACCAGACAGTATTTTGTTCAATTGTGTGTGGGGTTGCTAGGAGTCAGAGGCTAACTTTTAGCCAACTTAAAACAACAACATGGATTAGATATCAAGATACTGACACATTCAGTGTTTGGGACGTCACAGGAAGGAATACTTTCTAGCCAGAGGTATTTTAGAAGGTGCCTTGGAAGTGTTTTTCTTTGCTTTCAAGGAAGTGTTTGGGGTCTTTCATCCTTTAATCTCAGTTACAGATTTTCTCGATTTTGTGTGAACTGACTCATGTAGTTTTGCTTATAGCTTGAATGAGATCTGAAACTGGAAGGTTAACAGTAGACATCTATCCCCCAAGGTCTACCACAGCTTAAGAACCATTGGTATAAAGGAGGTTGTTTACACAACTCAAAGTAGGTAATCAGTGTCATTGAATTGTACATACAAAAATTGTTGGGAGTGGTGTATGTTCTGATGTGTAAATTCTCATCAGCAAAAACAAAATACTGTTCTAACAACATCACATTGCACATACATCATGGTCCCATAAGGTTTTTTTGTTTTGTTTTGTTTTTCCCCAAGGGAAAATGATTCTTTTGTTTATTCTTTTTTCCTGATTGTTTTTAAAAAACCCAAACCCAGACTCTTGCATACTGTATCATGGGAGGTATGCAGGCAGATGAGGCAGAGTACCGGGCTCTGGGCATGGGCTCTTGGGCTTTATTCAGTGAGCAGGTGGGTAAGGGCTGCTTCTACAGTGCAGCAGGTAAACAACAGGCAGAACTAGATGAACTCCACTCCCTCACTTTCTTCGTCTCACTCTGCTCCTGCCACCATTCTCTCAGCCACCACTCCTGCCAGTGCTTGTTCTCTGGCCTCCAGTAGCAATAGCTGCAGTGGCAGTGAGAATAATTGGAAGCAAGCTCCTATATGGTTTTAAAATGGTGGTGTTACAATTCCCAAATTACATAACAGCCTACTTCATTGAACATACTGTGGATGTTAAGCAGTGCATACTTGTAAATTATTTAAAATAGCAGATGAGAAGAAAATCTATGTAGAGGCTGGGCAGATAAATGGGGGTAGAAGTTGCATATATTTTAAGAGAAAAAAATGATGTGTGCAAAGACATGAAAACTAGAAAGCGTAAAATATATGTAGGAAATTGTGTGGTTCTGTTTCCCTGGAGTTTAGGGTTTGAAGAGTGTAGTAAGCAGTAAGGATAGACTGTGGCTAGAAGGAGAGCTATAAAGGCTTAATTATAAATTGGGCAAATGAGCTGCGTGATAGGCAATTATAACAAAAATAAATGAAGTTTTTTGTGTGCGATGGTAGAGTAGAATATAATTACTCTGTATTTGGAAGATAATTTTAATCACAGGAGAATCAGAATGAGAAGAGTGAGGGCAGGCATGTTGGGAAAATAATAATTCAACCACTAGTTAGATAAAGCCTATAGACTTTAGAGGAGTCCTAGTGTGGCACTATAGGTTAAGCACTGCACTGAAAAGTCAGTGTGAACCATAAGATCAGCAGTTCAAACTCACCAGCCATTCTTCAGAGACCCTATACAGGGCTGCTGTGATCAGGAAGCAACTCGACAGCATTTAGCAACATAGAGACTTTAGATGGGACAGGGCCCTGGTATAACACTGTGGGATAAGCCCTGACTGCTAACCACAAGGCCAGTGGTTCAAACCTACCAGCTGCTCCTCAGAAACCCAATACAGGGTCGCTATGAGTCAGAACTGACTTGACAGCACTTCAACAGCAACAGACTGTGGGAATGCTGACACACTGAGGCACTGAGAACTGGTGTTGGTGACCTGATGGGGAAGCAGAAGGGAAGGAACAATCAAATAAGACTTCAGCTTTTGAGTCGGATGAACACTTGACTGCTAACCACAGGGTCAACGGTTCAAACCCATCAGCTCCACAGGAAAAAGATGATGCTGTGTGCTTCCTTCAAGATTTATAGTATTAGAAACCCTCTATGGGGTCTCTGTGAGTCGCAATCTATTTGATGTTGTTAAGTGCCTTGTAGAGGGTTTCCAAGGAGCAAGCTGGGTTTGAACCACTGATACTGAGGTTAAAATTGACCTTGTGGTCTAATGCATTATCCTGCAGCATCACACCAAAACAGTGACATCATTACAAAAATAAAGAGGAGAAATAGTGAAGGAATTAAAATATATTAAGGTGCCAAGTTCTATATAAACATTACCTCAGTTTTACATATTAGAAAGTCAAGGCTAAAAAGGTTAGAAATGTGTTATTCAATACGTAGAGTAACTTATCTTAAGCCAGGTCTGTTTGGATTTCAGACCCTGTTCTTTGAGTACATACCTCCCTTTCGATACGAAAAGGTAATACAGTTGTAAACAAGTTTAAAACTGTAGCGTGTGCTGGCCCAGTGGTTAAGCGCTTAGCTCCTAACCAAAAGTCAGCAGTTTGCACCCAATAGCCACCATAATGGGGAATACCTGGCAATTTGCTGCCATAAAGATTACAGCAGAGGAAACCCTACTGGGACTGTTTATACTCTGTTATGTGGGGTCTGTGAATCAGAATCATCGTAATACAACAATATCATGTTTTTGGTTTTAAAAGTGTAATGGTCTTGGGGAGAACAAACAAGATGGTGGATCGGGAGGACGTATAGCAGAGAGCTCCGCCAACAACAACACAGAATACCTGACCAAGCAGCCTCAGGGGATGGTCCCAGAACTCTGAACCACATATAAAGGAATACTTAGAAGGTTGGAAGGCTCACAGCTGGGGGA